GCCCCTGCATGGAGAGGCTGAGCGTAGCACCTTCTCTGAGCCTGCTGCACCCACGGGTGATGGGGAGGGGGGGGAGTCAGCCCTCGTGGGTGCCGGCACTGAATCATTTATCAATCTTCATAAATATGCAGATGAGCAGCGAAGATGGGAGCCCTCTGCCTGCCGGCGTTAATTATTTAACGTGGAGGAGATGCTGAGGTGCATTGCCTGCTGCCTACGCTGCTCAGCCTTGGCTCTGGCACCCACTGGCCCATGCTGGGTGCTGCCCCTGTGCCCTCCTACCAGCCCCAGGGACCCTCCAGGACCCCCCACACCCCTTGGATCCCAGCAAACCAGCTTGTTTGATCCCTTTCCCCACCATCTCTTAGAAACAAATGGGCCAAGCTCTGCACTCGCTGCCATAAAGCCACGCTGCGCTAATGCGCTTTCATTAAGTGGGAGCGATCTAATGATAATAAAATGGCACATTTAACATTAAAACATTTAACTTGACTCCTAAGCGAGTGTGTCTCTCCACGCTGTTCCAGCTCCATCTTCATGAGGCTGACAAAGCTCCTTAATTTGTTTCCAGGGAGAGGGCACTCGGTGGAGATGGCTTGGCACCGCGCAGTATGAGGAATGCTGGGATGGGGGAGGCAGGGTACCAGGATGCTGGGATGTGGCAATGCTGGGGTGCTGGGATAGAGGAGTGCCAGGATGCTGGGTTCTGGGATGATGGAGCATGGGGACGTGGGGATGCAGAGTGTGGTGGTGGAGGGGTGCTGGGATGCAGGATATTGGGACACCAATGCAGGAGAAACGGAGATGCGTGGGGCTGCAGGGATGCAGCTGCAAGCCACTGCGATGTCATGTGGGCACGGCCGTGGCCCCACACCTACAGCGCAGCCTGGAGCACATCGGGGAAGCGGGTGATGGCGAAGGGGGCCGTGCTGTGGGATGGTTCCTCGCCCAGGCTCAGCTCGCACAGCAGCTTCCCCACCACTGGCGCCAGCTTGAACCCATGGCCTGCGGGATGGATGGTGAGGGTTGGGGGGGGCACAGCCACCCCCAGGGTCCCAGACAGCTCTAGGGTGCCCTTGCTTACCCGAAAAGCCAGCCCCAATGATGATGTTGCTGAATTTGGGGTGCCGGTCCAGGATGAAGTCTTCATCCGGGGTATTCTGGGAGAGCCATGGTGTGAGGGTGCGAGGTCCAAGGTCCTCTCCTTAACCCAAGATTGGGCAGGGAGGGACGAATGGGAGGTGTTGGGACCCCAGAGCATGGGTCTCGCTCCAGGGGGCTCTCACTGTGTAGATGCAGGTCTCCACCACGGCTGGCTGGGGGTCCAGCCCAGGCAGGTAACTGCTGATGAAGCTGCTCAGGAGGGCGATGTTGGGGTGGGAGACACCTGGGGGGTCCCGGTCCCGCTCATCGGGGTCTATGGGACTGCCGTGGTGGTAGCACACCTGGGGGACAGCTGGTGAGGGGATATTTGGCCAGGAAACACCCCCCCCATCACTCCCATCCCCACTCACCTTGACCATCCCCGGGTACTCAAGGGCGGGCAGCCCATAGATGTCGTGGGGGGCTTGGCTCAGGCCCACGGTCAAGAAGCAGGGACTGTCTCTGCCCATGCTGGGAGTCCCTGAATCCTTCTGCCTCCAGTAGTAGACGCCGATGCGCAATGGCTGG